CGAGGATGTACTTGAGGACGAGGACGATATCCTGGACCCTACCGTGCGGCAGTATGGCATGTATACCCCCCTGGTTAGGTTATTTGGCGAGTCCATTTTCCTGCCCACCTCGAGGCTCAAACGGGCGCCATCCAAGCCGACCGCGAGAAACCGGGCCAAGTCGTTTTGTAAGGACCAGAAACTCGAGCTTCGACAGAAGATGGCAGAATTGGTCGATACGGAGGAACGATATGTCTCGAAGCTCAATGATCTGGTAAAGAACCTGGCCGAGGAATATAGGACAAAGGCGAAGGAGCGTCAACCCAATAGCTCGAGCCCGGCCGAGGCAGACGTCGAGAAGTTGTTTCCGCGGTGCTCCGAGCGGATTCTAGAGCTCAATTCGGGATTCATGGAAGAGCTACGCAAGGTTATGGACGACACTGAGGACGCGGCCCTAAAGGACGTGGAATCGGGCACCGCATCCTCGAGAGTTGGTGTTTCTGGAAGCGTGCTGGGCAAGTCCAAAGATGCAAGCGGCGCTCTGACCATGGCCAAGATCATGCTGGAATGGTTCCCCAAGTTTACCGATTGCTACCAGGAGTATATCCGCGCAAGCCAGGAGTTCCCTCAGCTCATCACTGCCTTCCTCGACCAGCAGTCTAGCTTTTCTTCACGAGTGGCTGTCACCGGAGAGCAGCATTTACGCTCCACCGTGATCGAGCCCGTCCAGCGGCTGCCGCGCTACAGTTTGGTCATAGATCAGATCGTCAGTTGTTTGCCCATTACCCACCCTGCCCTCCAACCCATGCTGAAGGCCCGGGATATTATCGCCAATATTTGTTCGATGGATGACCCCATGGCTGATAAGCCTCATGTGAGTACACGCCTACGAAACATGATTGAAAGCTGGCCCGCCGATCTCGAACCGCATGGTCGTTTGGTTCTTGCCGTCGATTTTGCTGAAGTACCTGCCCCGTACGAGGCTGCGAGTATCTTGGAAACTTTATCTGCTGAACGAGCTGGCATGTTTCTGCTATTCTCAGATTGCGTGGTTATCGTGAAAAAGCTCGACGGCGCCAACATGACCTCCCGTGATCTGTTGCGTGAGATTGATAAGCCGTCACCGGCCGGGCTCCTAGCTTCCATGACAAATGCTGCCGGTGGCCCGGGAACGTACGAGCTAGCCTTTGCTGGTTGGCACGAGCTTGCTGACGTCCGTTTCACCGAATCCTCCGACGGGCGTCTGGTGTGGATGACCTCGGCCAAAGAGATGAAGGGCGGACATGCGGGAGATTACGTCACAAACACGGCCACAACTTCGCGTTGCTTCTTGCTTCAGGAGACGTACGAAGGCCGGGCTGCTAAGTGGACGGAAGAAATTGTCAAGGCTAGAGTGGAGGGCAGGTTTGCCGAACAGGAACGCGAGGATCCTTGCTGGTCCCTGCGGTCGGTCAGGATGCCCGATACAGGATTAGGCCTATTTGCTGCCGTGTTTCAGGAGGGCGTGGATCAGCTTATAGAAGGGCGAAAAGAGCCTGCCCCTATCCGTATCGTTGTTGACCACGATAAAGGCACGAAAGGGTCGCCTGTCGGCCACTACGGTGTAGAGATCTGCTCTGATGTCAAGGCGGGGGATCTGAAAAAGGTGGTCATCATTACAGTAGGGCTACATGCAAAGAAGGCAGTCGACGAGGTGGCGCTGGAAGATTTTCTACCTACCCTTGCCAGGAGAAGTAAGTATAAGGAGCTCATCTACAGTGACGCGGACACGAATGCTAATTTTTGCGCCCAGTCATCCAGTTTCTTAGCACTCAGTTCAACGCGTCAAACCCGGGGCTGACGCCTGCGATTGTCTCGTTCCATACGAAGGTCCTCCGGGGTCTAACCGCGACGAACCGAGCAGAGAAATCGAGGTCTTTCTTAGCTTCGTCTCCCGTCAAGTATCTCTCCAACTTTCTTAGTGGAAGTTCTTCGGATCTCGGCAGTCCCAAGCGTCAGCGCACTCCGACCGAAGATAAACCTGCGACTTTATACCCTACACAGGTCAGTCGCACAAACAGTTCAAGGGATGCCATCTCTTTATATGGTTCGGCCAAGAGTAGAGAGGGTATCCGGATGGGTGCCGATGAAGACGTTCCAGAGAATCCCTTGGTCCGACTTGAACATACCTTTACGGGCTACATGGCTAGTCTCCAGGCTCGTAAAGGGAACTTTGTGGCTCGGTCGTTGCTACATAGGTCATCTGTAGATGAGCTTTCTGTGAATGATCTATACAATAGGCTCATCGAGAGCCCCTTCGACCTCGAAATTTCATCCGATCTACCGGCTGATGTAGTGTATACGGCTTTCGAAAAGTTCATCCGTATCGCTTGGACGGAACAGATGGGTCCGATCATGACACAGAAAGCGCTTGACGCACTGCAGCAGCGAGCAGCCAAGAGATTACCTGGCGATTTCGCGGACTTTGTTCACTTTCTCTTCCAAGACATGGCCCCACAGAACCGAAGGGCATTCACTGCCCTTATCAAACTCCTAGCCGATCTCCTCGACGGCTGTGGGAATGACGGCGACAGAGGGGCCCTCACTCTCGCGTTTGCCGAGCTTCTAGTCGATGACGGGACTGCCCACAACTATATCAACCTGCTTGACCGCCTCGTCGAAGACTGTGATCGAATATTTGATGATAGATCGGGCGAGTTTGCCGGGTTCGCTGCGAGTCTCACTGTCGGTAACGGAACCCCGATTTATGAATCGATCAACTCGACTACCCGTAGTGTCAAATCACACACAGGATCTTTGGCATCAAATACGTCTTCTATACGGCGCAAATTTGGTCTCGAGAATTTCCTAACCCGTCAGAGCAGCAAGGGCGACCCGGATGCGCGGCCTTCCATGTGGCGTACCTTGAGCAAGCATAGTAGACATCCGATGAATGCAGATTTTGCCACGTTAACGAAGAGCTCTATCAACAGGGCTAAATCCATCGACACAGTGACCGGTAAACAGAGAAGACCTGGTTCGCGAGAAAGACCACCGCTCGCAGGCGCTTTTGATGACACATGTTCCCGACCCACAAGTTCGAACAAACTGGAGACCATTGGTGAACCCGACGTCGAGGATGGTACTACAAGATCGAAAAGGAAACGCCGAAGTTCACTGTCTGATCTCAAGGATCTCATGGAAGCAGCCAGCCTAGAAGACGACGAAGATGTATTAGAGGAAGAAGACGGGGCCAGGGACGACATGCCCCAGCCACTCTCGCACATGAAGGAAACATCAGAAAAGTTCAACTCAGGGCCACGCGCTCCTTCACCACCAAAGATCACTACAAGCCCAGTGTCGCAAAATTATTCTGTTTACTCGCCCGTTCACTCATCTCGCCAGAAAGAAAATATTGAGGACTCTTTTGGAGGCGGACCGCCGGTCACATCTCCAAGGAAAGGGCACGCCAAAATGATGTCGACCTCCAATATTCCAACGCTCAAGGCTCCGCGTGATAATGGGGTAGACTTGGGCGATGGTCTGTCACGTCCATCTTCAAGCCCGACCAAGGGTCCGGGGAAGCTGAGACTGCAGTCTCCACAAAAGCTTCGCGAACGCCTTCAAGTGGAGAAGAACGCTGCCGAGGATGTTGACGCCAACCTACAGACAGAACTTTCCAAGATAGCAGCAGACATGGCCAAAGTCAACTCTGCCCTACCCCGTTCCGCCACGGTAGACATGAGGAAATTGGCGTTGAGCGTGAACACTCTAGAGGAACGCCTCCCGCTGCTCATGATGCAAATTGCGGAGCGGCAACAACAACTACAGCAAGATATGGAGGATACACTTCAGGCAACGGAGGGCAAGGTGAGGGCGATCGACCAGTTATACAAGGAGACCACAGCAGAGAACGAACTATTATACGAAAGATTCAATAGCGAGTTGGGCAAGATCGTCAAAGCGCTCAAGGGCAAAGGGCGCGATGATAAGGAGGAGCTCATGGTCCGGATGAAGGATTACAGCGAAGAGACGGCGCGGGTGAAGAAGGAGAACGCGCGTCTGCGTCGGGAGATGGCTAGTCTCCGAGCGATGATTAAGGGAAGCACCAACGATGCCTAGAGGGTCGTTGGTATCATAGTATTGGCGTTGATCCGGTTGGCGTTATGGCTGCTTTGGAACCTCTTGACGAAAATCAACGGAGTTACGAGAAAAGGGCGTCGTCGTTACTATTATATATTGTCCTGACGCCAGATAGAGGGTGTGCTGTTTAGTGTCCTCTCTTTTTCTTTTTTCTTTTTCTCGTTTATTATTTTGTTGATAGAGTGTCGCATAAGTATTTTCGTCGTCGTTGTACTTATAGTAATGATGATGATATGTCTAATTAGATGGCTCAATTTTGGGGACGACATGAGAAAAGAAGGGGGCAAAAATAAGAGAGAGAGAGAGAGAGAAGGGGGGTGAGAGGAGAAAATGAGTCTGCTTACGTACTACTTCACTCGGTCAGAATTATATGTTGAAATAGTTACTGGCTTTGGTTTTGTTTTCCACCCTCTCTCTTGTTAGTTCCACTCGGAATGTTATCACAGGAGCAGGGCCAGGAGGGTACTGGGTAGGATAAGGTAATGAATGCATTAGCCATTATGTGGATAGATGAGTTAATGTAAAGTAAAATGGTTTTATCTGACAGCACTTGTTGCTACTCCCCCTTCCCCCCCCTTTTTTTGTCTCTCCTTCGGCTCTGGTGTGATGAATTAATTGACTTGGTTCTTTCGAGATGAAATATATTAATATCAAACCTGCAGTCCCTATTATACATATACATAACCTCCATACACATAGCATGAGGTTGTAGAGTGACAGGCCTGCTCTAAGAACTTACTGCTAGTCGTCACCTACCCAAGTAGGGGTGGTAGAGACCCACTATAGTAAACTCCCAAGCTGCAGCTTTCTGGTACTGACCTTGTGCATACATAATCCAGTATAAACGCGCTGTTTCATCACTGACCAATTGCAATTGGTCTACAGACTGTTCAAAACTGGGTGATATCGTCTAGTGGTTAGGACAACACGTTGTGGTTCGTTCATCCCGAACAACAAAAGTCCCGTGTAAACGCCGGTTCGATTCCGGCTATTGCCAATTCTACACCCTGAAGTTTGTAATTCTTTTTTTTCCTTTTCAATCTTCCCTTCTCTAATTTTTTTTCTAAATTTTTTATTTAAATTAGTATTATTATTACGTTTCTTGATAGGTTTCCCCTCTACGGATTTTTCTTTTCAACAGTATAGATGAGTTTATTCATATGTTTGTAGTTTCCCCCCCCCCCCCTCCTTTTCACCCTCCTTTTCACTAAACTATTAATTTATATATAAACCTCAAGTTGGCTTTCGTTTGTCTCGTAGGGTGTTTGATTTTTTTCTCTCTCGTAAATTCCTACGAAATCATATACAACTCCCTAAATTTCCCACCACTTCCTATGAAATAAAAAGTTTCACGAAAAACCAAAAAGATTCGCTCAAGCCAATGGTATTTTAAGGGAATAAATATGCTATTTCATGATTACTTTGCTTTTCCCGCCCCCTACCCCTTATATACACCATTAAGTCAAACTGTGCGATGCTAGGGGGATGAGCAAAAGTGGTTAAAGGAAAAGTGTCTGCAAACCTATTTTCAAACGAGGATACACACATCCATCTTATATCAATCATATTCTGATTTTCATAGGAGTCATCAGATTAAACAAACCTGTGACGAAAACATGATACATCGGGGTTTTGCTAGCTGCTATAAAAGTCATCGATGGGTTTAACTGGCCGACCTTTACGGATTTCACTATCCCCACTCGGAGCCGATGTTTTTGCCTTTTTGGGGGTTTCTGATGCCGGTGTGGGTCCCGGTCTGACAGCTGGTCTAGAGTCATACTACTCTAGGTTGAGAACCCCTGAGCCCCTGAGCCCCTGAGTCCCCGGTTAGATATAGTCGACTTGTAGAGTGTTGAACCACCCCAACCCACAAGACGTCGAGTATATATATATGTAGTTCCTTCTTCTTAAATCTACAATAACTATCGTTTGTGTCTAATCCCAGAATTCCTATTGTTTAAACCACGAAAGTCAAACAATCATGCCATATCATACAATGGACCAACAATTACAGGCTCGTGGAGGTAGTTGCCCTCGACGCGTGCACTCTTTTAACCCGGCTATATAGGGAATAGTTAGTGATTCGTGAATAGGACGCACAATAGAATGCGCGAATGGTAGAAGACACATTCACTTGTTTGTTTGTTTCCCATTTCTTCCTGTCTGCCCTATATGAAGAGGAGGAAGAATAAAAAAAATCTTCTCATTCACTGCTCAATCACTCACCAAACCAGTCACACCATTCTTTTATCTATATAAGCCCATACACTTACTACACAAAACCCTCGACACTTCAACTCTTGCACCTCACCTTTCTCCTCATCATCTATCTCATCCAAAAAAGACCTCAACCACCCAAGTCGCCATCACTCAAGTCATCATCATGCCTAGAGATAGCAACTACTCCACTGACGAGCCCCGTCCGTCCTGGGTAAGTACTACTAATCAACTTCATCGCCTCATCACTTCCCTCCCCCTCCCCTCCAACCCACACCATGACCTTCCCACAGCCAGCTCGACTAACCATCTCCCCTCTCCCCACAGCTCTCCAGGTTCGGAGCCTTCATCCGCGAGATCCCCGGCTCCATAGTCCCTACGTCCGGCCTCTCGGAGAAGAAAAAGCAGAGCGAGAAGCACTCCTTCGACGGACCCACGGAGCAGGCGCTCTGGAACGAGCTGTCGGGCAGCTACCCCCACGAGTTCGTCCGACGCCTGGAGCAGCTGCGCGCGCGCTCGGACCCCTACGCGCAAAGCCAGGACACGGTGTACCTGGTGCTGCACGGCGTGGCGAGCGAGGCCGACAGCGAGGCGACCGAGACCAACGTCGTCGGCGTGCTGACCAGCGCGCTCGCCGCCAACACGCGCGTCCTGAGCTTCACCCGCGCTGTCGTCCAAGACCTCTACAACCTCGACCGCGTCCCCAACATCGAGGTCGCGGCCGACAAGTTCTGGTGGTCCACCTCTTGGGATGAGCTCGCTGCGACGCAGTTCCTGGACCCGGAGGGCGAGGGACACAACGTCTATGCTGTCGCCGGTGAGTTACTATTTTCCCTTCCCTTCCCCCTTCTCTATCCTCTTCTTGGCTCGCTTTCCGTGGCCTCTTCCTTCCCTTGATAGTCACCCTCTAGCTCGTGGGGAGTAGGGGAGAAAGCAATTTTTTTTTTAAAAAAAATAACAAAAAATAAAAAACATTCACTCAAACGTCCTTTTTCCCCTTTCCCAAGTCCGCTATTTATTACTAAACTTGGATCTAACCAATATTTATTCCACAGTCAAAACCCAACAGTGCGGGTTCTCTGGCGACGTGAACGTGGTCTGCCCCTCCAAGCGCTGCTGGAGCAGCTAGACCTAGGTTCTGCCTCCCGTCCTTCTACTATACGGGAGAATACCAACCATTACGTGAGACATCTGAGGATGCCACAAATCGGGGTGCGTCGTGAAGGAGTTGCTTGTTTTAGTCCTGCCCTCGGTTCAGTTCCTTGCCTTACATACCAGAAGGCAAGATTCATCGTTTGCGTTGCTTTGCGAGTTGTTAGTTATGGGGAACTCTGGGATCATGTACGGTAGTTAATTTGACTCTTATGGGGGTCACCCGTCTCCTACCGGGAAAAAGAAATCTGAATTTCCCACCCCATTTTTGCTGCCTTGTGTCACTTGTGATTGTACTGATATATATATATTGCCTTGTATCGAAAAACTCCGTCCAGAATAGCTTCTTAAAAAACGGAAAAGAGGGAGGAGAGGGGGGGGATCTCAACATAAAGCTAACATTCACGATGGGAAGTATTGCATAACTCAGTTTCACGATAATATCAACACTTTTACCTCATGTATAGCTTATGGCCTGATCAGGAAATATTTCTAATTAGGTATTTGATGATGGAGCAAAGGCAAAAACGCATATTCCCAAGTAGATATTGAACAATGGACACCCACACTCGATTGCCTAATACATAAATCAAGTGCTTGGTAGTATTTTTGATTTGGATCCTATGCAGCTTCTTAAATCCTAAGCGTCACACAACATAGAAACTCTCCCTGTCATATATATTTTGATCTTTAATTGTATCTAAACTAGATCTTCTTTAACTTAAGTCGTTATTGGTATGCTAGCAGGCACTACACCATCTACTACTGCGTGATCGCCAACAACCATCTCGGGTTGTCTACTCGATTCGTGATCATATATCATCTTTCTTCCTTTTCATGTACTGTTTTTTCATCTTTTTTTGGTAATGAGGGGGGGGGGCCCCCCCCCCCCCGGGGGGTGGTTGTGGGTGGTAGTTGGGCTTGCGGACGGGGTAAGGG